CTACCATTAGCCTGGCTCTATTGGGGTCCACACTAGTGTCATGGGCTCTGTGGGTTTGGACAGATACAATGACATGCCTTCACCATTCCCGTGCAAGCAGACTGCTGTTACGGTTTCCCAGTTCATTCCTCTCTCCAACTCTAAACTGACTATCTAGACCCGATTGGCCTTGAACTCACAGAGATCTGTCTGTCTGTACCTTAAGTGCTTGCACTAAAGGTGTACACCATCTGACCCAGCAGCCACACACCAACTGTCACCGAGTTTGCCTTTTCCAGAAAGCCATAGTGGAAAGCATGGGCTGCTGCATTTCCACCTTGGCTGCTTTCCCCTGGGGACATGTGTTTAAGTTCCCTCTGTAGCTCTTCAAGGATCAGCATCCAGTTCTGCTTGACGCTAAATCACCTTCTAGGCCTGGGAACTTCTCCATGCCCTGAAGGAGGCTTCTTCTGCCTCATCTCAATCTCTCAAATCCATCATGGCAGGCTTGAGCCAGGGCCTCAGAGGCTGTGATGAATTTCACTTGATTCCTTCCAAGGCTTTCCCTGTCCAGGATAATTGATAGCCAGGTGGCAGTGACTCTCCAGCGTGCAGACCTCAGGCACAGGTGCCTCCCACGTGCAGCCAGGTGTGAAGGCCTGCCAGCCTGGAGGAAATCCCAGAAGATTCTCCAGAGGCAGAAGCACAGGGAAGTGGAGGTGGAGGAGACAAAGAGGTCACAGGTCCAAGGAGCCTGTGTCCAGGAATGACTAGAAAGCTCAGAAGTAGCCGCCAGCTGTGACCCTGAGAACCAGAGCTGGAGGTGGCAGGGGGCACTGGAGATTGACAGGCACTGGAAAGTGAGCGTAGATGCCCAGAAATGAAGTTTGCATCATTGATGCATTGATGACTCTGGGAGTGCTGATGAAGACACGATGGATGCTCCACTTTGGACCAAGCAGCCCAAGGGTCGTACTTCATGGCTCTGCTGACCCCAGGCTCTAGAATAGCCTCCCAGGAGCAGCCTTCAGCTTTGTGAAGCCCCTTCCTCCCAAATCAGACCCCAGTGGAGCAAGATGTAGGCTTCCAGGCCTTATGCGATGTCTTTTTTCCCAAATGCAACCCAGAGAGTAGCCCTCTAATAGGACAGCCATAGTTGGGTCCCTGGCACGTACCTAGCCAAAGTCACTGGGATAAACAGCTATGGAAATGATTCTGAATCACCAAAGACATTTTAAAAATAAACAAACAATCCTGTGTTCTTTGAATCATAGGCCCTGGTATAGGCCTCAGGGTTGCACCATGCAGGCTCCCTGCACCCCCTCTTGATTGGTGTTTCCAAGCCTTGGCATGGCTGGCCTGAGCCTATTCAGCTACTCTTGGCCTCAAGTTACTCTCTTGTGAGGTAGGCACCATGCTGGCTTCACGGGGGTGTCAGGAGGGTTGAACAGACATCTTTGCACCCCAGTGGGTCTGGGAGCTAAGCAGAATGTTAAAAAGAAGGCAGCGGGGTCACATTGTTGTACTCCCTGGTGACTTACTTCACAGAGTCTGTGCTGGAGCCAGGGAGGGGGAATATGTGTCCAGCCCAGCCCAAGCCAAGCAAGGAGGATAGGAGACGCCTGCCTCAGAGGCGCCTGGGCCTTTGTTGGCTTTGTTTGGGTACTTTATTAGTTGGAAAGATTGCTTTTTTCTTAACAGTTGTATGCCCCTGGCTGCCAGACTGTCTTTGACCTTCAAGGACAGCTTGTTCAGTTTTGCTCTGGGCACTTCTATATTTGGAGTGGTTTTAGAGAGGCAGGGTCACTGGACGAGCCACACCAGCCCCTGCATCCTGAGCCCTCCTCCCTCTGCCTGGATTCAGCTTCCTGTTCCCCCATAGATGCTTCATGCAGTGTAGGACAGTTGGGGACTCTGTTTTCCCGATGCCCTCCTGCCTGTCTGACTGTCCTGTTTCAGAGTCATCCACAAGTAGCTGGAGATGGCAGCACGCTGCCTGCTGCTGTGAGAAACACAGTCCCCTCCAGGCACTGGCAGGAGATGGGGGGAGAAGGAAACAAGCAGTCTGAGCAGGCTTGCTGTTGCCTCTCCATGGCTATACTTGATCTTGCTATTCCTTTCCAGGGAGGCCCATTCGTGATGCAGATTTTCTTCTGACCACCAGAGGGCAGCACCACTACCATGCCCACAGCTCCAGGCTGTTCTAGTGAGCAGGGTGGGGTTTGGCCAGCAAATCCACACTCTTAATATAGCTCTTCCTTCAAACCAAATGCATATCCAATAGCTTGGGAACTGGTGCTAGGGATGAAACTCAGGACCCCTGCATGCTAGGCAAGCACCCTGCTACTGAGCTACACCCAGCCCCCATGTATTCCTGAAAAAAACAAAAAGTGTTGGTCAGTGTTATGGAACACTTCAGTGTTTGCTGGGCTGGTTGCTAAGCAAATCACTTTGCCCTTGATCCAGTTTTCCCAGGACCAGGGGATGTAAACAGAGGGTGGGTGGATGGAAAGGACAGATGGAAGGACAGATCGAAGGCAGAGGGTGGGTGGATACGCAAGGACAGATGGGAAGGCAGCTAGAAGGTGGGGTGGTGGGATGGTGGAGTGGCGTGGACAGGAACTCTCTCAAGGTCACAACCCCACAAGAGGCAGAGCTGAGACTGCGTCTCTGGGTAGCGTAACCCCACAGCCCATGGGGACTCCCAAATCTGAAAGTGACTTCTTATTCCTCCTGGCCTTGAGTCAGATTCCTGTCATATAATCTCTGCCTTGTCCGATCATGAGAAGATGCTTCCCATTGTCCTTTGTGTCCCAAACTGGATGGACATAAAAGTTCTGGAGAGGCACCCTGCCCTGCATCACAAGAGCTCCCAGTGGCCCAGCTATGCACAGCTGTGAAGGACTCCAGCTGTGCTTCCTGAACATAGCTGAAAGGCCTGGCCTCACTGAGTCAAAATCCAGCCGAGCCAGAGGCCCTGGCTCTCTGGCCTCCCACCAACTTTCTCTTGTATGAATTGGTGTTTCTGATCCAATTCCGTAGGGAAGGGACAGGGCGGGTGTGATAGGGGTCCCATCGTGACCTAGGTGCTGACTGGGGGTGGGGATGAAGGGGAAATGGCTGTACACGATAGCAAGGGATGTGAGCTGCATCATGTCACTGCTGCAGGGACACCACTGTTGCTGTGGTCATCAGAGAGACATAGGTCACAGAAGGTGGGAAAAGTCCTGTAGAAGAGGGAACATGAAGTGAGGCCCATGGAAGATCGCAGCCTGGGTAAACCGAAACACCAACTCAAGGCAGGTGTCTGAGTGACAGGTTAGGGGTAGTTTGGCTTCTATGGCTTGCCGTAGGTAGGAGGCGGAGGCACGGGTGAGGCAGCAGCTGTAGGAGAACAGTCACATCCTGGCCTTGTTGGAACATGCTGTAGAGCTATGGTTTAGTCCCTTGGCTGTTACTGGAGATAGCAACTGTCTTCTGTTTGGCTGGCTGTGACACTGAGGTCTCTGGTTGCATGATAGATGGAGCTGGGTTGCTGGCATGTGGCTGTAGGTCGTGGGTCCCCACCCTGTGTCTATGGTTCCTGGACATGACTGCACATTTGTTCTCAGTGTGATGCTTCAGACAGTGGTTGACTAAGATTACCCTTGTGGGCTGCTGTGGCTAGTGGTGGGTCCTGTTAGTGGTGGGTCCCTCCAAGAGAGAGGGATTGATGGCGAGTGTGTTTCGTCCTTCTCCCTCCATCACTTGCCTGTGTCCTGTGGCTGCAATAGTGAAGGTGAGCAGCGCTGGACAACTGAGCTGGCGTTGAGCTGAGGCTGTGGATGTTTTTCTCTGTAGCTGAGAATGGAACACTCCCTTCACCTTTGCTGGCTTCTGGAGCTGCCAGTTCTCATGGCTCATGGTCCTTCCTTGTCAAGACTAGCTATATTGTACCTCTCTGACCTGTTCCTTAATTACGTCTCCAAGAAACGTCCTTTGATGTCATCTAGCCGTGCTGAACAGCCAAGTACCTTTCCTTTGTCTTCTCAACCCATGTCTAAGATCCAGAGGCCCCAAGTCTCATTCATAGTCATAATGTCCCAACATACATCTAGGTACATTGCTGGGATAGCAAGGTCTGTGCACTGCCTTTTGTGTGGCCTATCTAGGCAACCCCTCCCCTCTGGCCTCAGACCCACGTGATCCCTGTATGGTATCCTGGGGCTTATAGCTCTTTAGTTCCTCCAGTCAACTGATTTTTTCCTTCAGGCTAAAATTTAAGAGTCTCTGGACACTTCCCAGTTACAGGGCAATTGAGGGGTACACTCAAGGCTTCTGCATCATGACCCAGCATCCTGTGAGCTGACATCTGCAGATGCTTTCGGAGGCAGAGGGGAGGGGTGGATGGTCATGCCTGGTCCTGGGACCACAACATAACCCTGGCTCTTGAACTTGTGGTTTTTAATGTCTCCTTCAACAGCCTACCTGGCTGTGGCTGACTCTCAGGGGACACTAACAATGTTGACTCCCATGTTTTGGAACCCAAAGGAAATGTGAAACCAGCTCTCAGAACATTGCAGCTGTTTTTAAAAAAGAGGCTAAGTGTCCCATGGCTGAAAGGCTGCTAGGTTTTCAGGAAGTGATGTCGCTCTGAGACTCTGGGTTGTCAAAGTTGTACCAGGTGGATGCAACAAGGGTTAGCTGCTCTTCAGGAGGGGACAGGAGTGGCCTTGCCACTCTAGAGGTACACAGAGACACGTTGGGACATCATAGATATGTATGCAGAGATAGGGATAAGACAGCTCGCTGGGCAGAGCAGTCACAGAGCCCACAGTGGATTTGCCAGATGGTCTTGGGTCTCAGAACTGTCACCTGTCATATAACCTGAGTGTCACTTAATCCCAGATGGAAGGTGGAAATGGATCACTACCTTATGCCCTATGGGACCAGCCCTGTGGGTGGGGGCATGATGGAAGGCCTTCTGCTTGCTCTCCCTGCCCTGAGTGCCCCTCATTTTAACCTGGCTCCATTCTCCCCAGTGTCTCAGCCCCAGGCTGCTCATGCCCCACTGGAGAAGCCGGCCAGCACTGCGATCCTGTGTAATACCTGTGGGAATGTGTGCAAGGGAGAGGTGCTGCGTGTGCAGAACAAGTACTTCCACATCAGGTGCTTCGTGTGCAAAGGTGAGTGTGTATCTGACCCCGTGCTTGGCCACAGAGTACCATGAGCCAGGCTTCCCAGCCAGAGTGCCCTGAGCCAGGCTTCCCAGACACCCTTCTCATTCTTTCTCGGTCCAGAAAGCTCTCTGGACACATTTGAGCTTCTGTAGAGTTCTGAGCCATCTGGTGTGACAAAGGAATCCCCAGAGGTAGGGGGTATAGAGACTCTGGGTCTGCAGATGCATGAGGCTGGCCCAGAATCAGAGAATCCGATCCTAGAGTCGCTGGGGCACTACCCAGAGTGTCAGTGATCTTTGCCGGCTGTGCAAAATCAGTAGCTGGGGTTCAGGGGAGCTTGCTACACCAGGTACTGCTGCGTCTCTTCTGTAGTAGCACTGAAAACATTCTAAATGAAAGTCATTCGCTTTTCTTTGCTTATAAAAAGTAGCCTAAAAATACACTGGTTTTTAAATCAAGAAGGTGGGGACAAGAGGGGCTAAAGCTGTGAGTCAAGCCTCCCTCGTAGATGTGGCCAGCTTTGGAGCCTTCTCCCCTGCCTTGCATTTCATGTGCATGCTGGGACTAATGAGGACCAAGCACATCTTCATCCAACACCCCAGAAATGTGAGAAAAACTACCTACAGGGTGCAGTGGTTAGGACCCACCCACTGGACATGGCGTCCAGACTCACAGAGCTGGCCATGTTAAGGAATGCTGTTCTGCAGTCCTATGCACATGACCCCCGGCTTGGCATGATCGCCTGGCCTGTATGGAGACTGGTGCTGCCTTCACCACAGGGACCCTCAGTGAAGGGGGGATGTTAACTTTACTGTTTGCATAGGAAGAATAGGAGCCAAATCATTGGGATGTGGAGATTCACAGGAGAGTCCAGAAGCTTTCAGAAAGGAGTCCACAGAGAAAATACATTTGGCCACGACCTGAAGATAGAAATTTGCCAGGCAAGAACAGGGCTGCCCTAGGCAGGAGGCAACACTATCAGGTCAAGTGGGGAGGGGCTGGTGACTGACTTCAGAGAGGGGAGATGGAGCTAGGAGCTTCTAGAGTTTTGATTCCAGGTCCCCTCATGAACCCTGAACCTATAGAAATGCCTGGGCATTTGTCTGTGGAGCCCCACCCCTCCACTCTGGTCCTCTGGCTCTGCTTCAGTGTATGAAGTCCTGGTGCTTGAAAACAGAATTTTCTGCAGAGGGGGCCATCCCAAAACACTCTTGGTATTGTCAGCTCTGTGTGATCAACTTACACAAAATAAACACTGTCTGTGGGGTAGTTACAGGGATAGCCTGAGCTAGCTCTTACTTTATCCTTGGACCCCGAGGGATCTGCCTTCAGAGGCCCCATCTAGGGCATGGGCAGTTGGCTTTCACTGTTGTCTCAAGAGCCACCAGGGTTGAGGGGGAGGGGAGTCTAGGCATCCTAGACATCTTGACCCTGATGCATTCTCTCAATGACACCCCATCTTTCTAGTCCTTCCCCAACTACCACACATGACAAAAGCAGCCAGAATCCTTTGTGGTAGCAACCCCAGGATGATGGCTGGAGCTGTTTGGAAAAAGAAGTGGTAATGTGGTACTTCACTCCCAACACAGCTAGGAAGGCCCATGCCTCAGGCTCCACAGAGTGGACTTGAATTGGAGGTTAGAGAGCCATCACACAGAGAGCCTGCCACTTCACACAGCTCCAAACCATCACCCCACCCCCACCCCACCCCAGGGGAAAGGGCACATTAGCTCTGGGGAAGCTTTTCTCCAGAGAACAGCAGCCACTGTCTGCAGCCTGACCTCAGAACCCCTACAGAAAACACTAGATGTGGGTATGCATCTGCTTAACCCAGTGCTGCTGGGTAGGCAGAGGCAGGAGGATCCCTAGAGCTCACTGGGAAGCCGGCACAGCTGAATCTGAGAGACACTGTCTCAAAAACGAAAATGGAGGACAGCTTGAAGAAGACACCTGGTGTTGACCTCTGGCCTCCATACACACACAGACATGTACAAATTAAAAAAGAAAGGGAGAAATTAGTTCCAGAAAGTGACCCTGACCCTGCCTTCTTACCGACGGCTGCCAACCCCTGTGTTCTCCAAACCCTCCAGGCCTCTGAACTTGATCCTTTTCAAACTGTAACATGATAGAGGCACATTGTCTCCATGAGGGACTTAAGTTACTGGTGAACTTGGACTTTTTATTTTTAGGAGCAGAGGACTGAGATGTCACTGTCTTGGGGTGACCTTGGAATCCTTAAGGCAGCCAGAAACAAGCAGGCAGCTGAGGGCAGCAGGGCCAGGAGCCACTGGGGTCCTTCAGCTGTCTGTGTCCCTCTCTCTGTGCTACAGTGTGACTCACTGGAGTCTGTGTCTCTGCCCCCTGCACACATTTCTCCTCTAAGGACTGATCAGCGTTGTCACAGCTGTGACAGGCAGACACAGCCCAGAGTCAGCAACTTGAATATTTGTGACACTGCCCCTTGTCTCCAGGGCACTGCAGAATAATCCTGTGCAGCTCTGTCAGTCCCATGGCCTGTTCTTGCACAAGGGATATTTGTTTGATCTATGGTGGGACAAGATTAGACCTTGGGTTTCATTCCCAGACCGAGTGTGGAGAAGGAGCCCAGCATGGCTCCAGACTGGCATAGAGCTTTTGGTAGAAGTGATAGCAGCGGCAGCCATAGGCTGGGATAGCGGGCTATGAGGATGTAAAAGTCTAGGTTTGACATTGGCATCCCTCTGTGCATGCACAAGACATGGGGTGGGGGCTCCTCTTATTGTATACCAGCAGCCACAGCTCTGAAAATGTCATTGTGGTGGGAACTTCTAGGCTGTTCCATCTGAGGCATTGAATGGCTCACTCGCATGTACTTCTGGGGCTAGAGGGTATGAGGAAGGAACATACTGTGTCCTCAGAAGTTGACTGGGGCCCAGTAGCTGTTGGTGAACAGGGTAGATACTTCAGTCCACAGCCTGCAAGTCCTCTCTGCTCCTCCACTAGGCTCAGCAATCCGGAGCTGTGTGTTAGGAGAAAGGACTAGTGACTCTCAGTGACCCTGTAGGTCACTGCTCTGGATCTGGCCTTGCCGTATTATAGGAGTCAGCAGTTGAGGACTATGAGAGCCCAGAAGGAACGGGGAGGGAGTGGGAAGTTTCTCTGTGGATCTGGGGACCGTGTAATGGCTCACTTGTCCTCCATGAGGACCTTCAGTCCATAGCAGAGCATAGAGTGGAAAGCTACCCAGTGTCTGTCTGTCTGTCTGTCTGTCTCTGTCTCTCTGTCTCTGTCTCTGTCTCTGTCTCTCTCTCTCTCTCTCTCTCTCTCTCTCTCTCTCTCTCTCTTCCTTTCTCTCTCTTATGTACATATGCACCCTGCTTAACCTCTTCTTCCACCACTGGAACAGCTTAGAGAGGCTCGCAGGATCTCAGGGGCCAGAGAGCCTCATCATATCCTAGCAAGGTTTGGAAGCTGGTCCTGTCCTCAGTTTCTCAGTGCTTCTTTCTGGAAGCTTCTATATGGAAAATACACTTGACTCTATGCCAGCAGGGGAGCTTCTGTCTGTCCCTAGAGCCCCATCCCAGGTATCCTTAGCCACTTGGATTTGTAGAAGCTTGCATCAGGGGGGCTGGGGTCAGATCTCCAGAAGGTATGAGTTGGTCACTTCACTGACCCAGCCTTCGATCTTCTCCACAGCGTGTGGCTGTGACCTGGCCGAAGGTGGCTTCTTTGTGAGACAGGGTGAGCACATTTGCACACGTGACTACCAGCGGCTCTATGGCACTCGCTGCTTCAGCTGTGACCGCTTCATTGAAGGTGAAGTGGTGTCGGCACTTGGGAAGACCTACCACCCTGACTGCTTTGTATGCGCTGTCTGCAGGTAAGTGGTCCAAGCTCTGCTCTGCTAGCCTCTACCCCTCCTCCTTGCACATCTGCCTCTTGTCCTGGCTCCACTCCATCTTCACACATCTGCACCTCCTCCAAGCCTTCGAGCCTTCCTAGCTCAGCCCCACCACAGTCCCTTATCCCTTACCTGGGCCCTGTCCTCCTACCCTTGACCATCTTTTGGCTCCTAGCAGGTCCCAGCTGCCCCCACCCAAGCCCACAGCATACCCTGGCTACCTCTGGTCTCCAAGGCAGCCATCCCTAGCCTGTCCTTGTTCTCAGCTCTACTCTTTTTTTTAACATTGCTTCCTGCCATGCCTGCCCATGTGTTAGTTAGTGTGCCCTCCCACTCCCACAGGCCCAGGCTCTACTCCCTGTGTCCCAGCCTGCAGATGCCACACCCCTATCCACAGAAGCCTCACGTATTACTGTCCTCAAACCTACCTAGCCACTGTCCTGGCTGAGGATTCCACATGGGACACCCCCCTGCCTCATCTTCATCCACCTCAGTCTGTCCCCAGCATTCCTGGAGCCTTCCCCAAGCTCCTTCCTAGAGGTGTGTCAGCCTCTCATATCCATGTATGCCTTCTTCCCTTCCTTCATTCCGTCCATGGGTGCTGGCCCAGGGCTCCACCAACACTGGTTCTGGACCTGTTATCTCAGCCTCTTAGATTCCTCCAGAAGGGGAAGGCAGACCCTGTGGAGCACTCACAGGATCGCCCTTCCTCTTTCCTCTCTCTTCTCCTTCCCTCCCACCCAGTAGGTTCCTCCCTCCTTCTCTCCTTGTGTCCTGTCCCTCTGCAATCTGCCCCATCCTGCCCCATGGCTGTGTCCTTCCCAACACTGTGGTATGATCTCATAAGAGGTGGCTGGGAGAGGACTGGGACTGGGAGGCCTGCTTCTAGTCCCTGGTGCCTGGCATAGAGCAAATGATCTTCCCATGAAGAGTCTGTATGCCACCCTGGCAGCAACCTGTGCTTTCTGACCAATGGCAGGCTCTCTGAGGCCTCTGGCCAGCAAACACAGGCAAGAGTGAAGAGTAGAGAGAGCGGCGGCGTTTCCTGGCATCAGTGTCCAGCTTGTGATGTTACCGAGTATCATCGTGTCTGGCTTGTGATGTCTCCCACATCCTGTCCAAGCAGCCATCTATGGTCACAGCATGTACCCAAGGCAGGAGTCGAGCCTTTGACCAGAAGACATCAAGGGGAGGAAGCTCTATGGGGGACATTTTCCATGGAAGAGTTGCTGTGTGCTCTCTAGTGTGGATAGATCAGAGGTCCCTAAAAATACCTTAGCAATTTCCATATGGCATCAGTCATGGTTGGCCCACCTTGGGAAACCCACCATTTTACAGTGACAACAGACAGTGCTGTTCAGGCTGTAGGTTGGGCTGGGGCTCTGCCACGGATCACATAGTCAGGTTAGACACCACACAGAGTTGGCTGCCAGCAGGCACACGCTGGAGCTGGGGCCCAAGTTCAGGGACAGCAAAGCAGAAGCCAGACTCCTGCTTCCTGTTGGAGGTTGAATCTGGAGTGGAGAATAGAGTGATATGTTTCCTGGCCAGGGTGAGAGGGTGAGTGGAGGGTGGTACTGGCAGGACACGTGAGACGGGGAGAATGGGCCCTGCAAGATGCCATCAAGAGGACTCCACTCTGTGATGACAGTTGCCCAAGTGAAATGCTTTAAAGGAAGAACCCCACCCCCATGGCTTCAGAAGACTGCCCTCAATGAATGGATGTACAATGCTGCTGCTGCCCACATTCAAGATGGGCTTCCCTTCTGGAAACACTCTCAGATGTACCCAGAGGTCCACTGTAATGATTGCCAGATGTTTCTCAATCCAGTCAAACTGACAGTAAACACGAGCCTTCAGTGGGTGAGGGCCACCAAGGCTGCCGTAAGTGCACAGTCCCCAGGGGACAAGCCGTGAGTGCACAGTCCACAGGGGACACTGAGTTCTGAGTCCTGAGGACCTTGTTGATCATGCAGGGGTGGGCCTTATTGATAGCGTTCAGACAGCCCAGGAGCAAGGGCTGCTGTACACCCACTTTGCAAGTGAGAGGTGAGCCTCCTTGGGATGTCCCTAGAAGCTGGCAACCTCCTGAGCCCAAGCTCCTTACAGGAAGAAGTGAGAGAAAGCCCTGCACTCAACTGCATAGAGTCTACTGCATCAGGGATTTACTTAGAAGTGGAGACCTCCAGATGAGACACCAACCAGAACCAGGAAAAAGTTAGCAGAGACCACCAGGGTGACATCGGCGGATATGGACATGGGTACAGCCATGTCCACTCTGTTGCTGTTTCAAGGACAGGATTTCCAGAAGGCCATCTAGAAGCCAAATGTGTAACTCCTGAAGTGATCAGGCATATGAGAGAAATGACTGGAAATTCAAGTGTGGCAGTAGAAGCCCCCATACTGGTACACAGGGGAGTGGGTGTAGAGCTACTGTCTGCCTGTCCATTGGTCTGTAAGTCTGTCTGCCTGCTTGTATAGGCAGGGGAGACCAAAAAAAGTCCTTTTAAAGTCATGGATGAAGATTGTCTAGATTTGCTGAAAGCTAGAAACCTACAGTCCCAAGATCTCAGTGACCCTAAAAAGAAATGTTCAGAGGCAAGAGAGTACCCAGATGTTCACAGGCAACCTTGTGTACAACAGCGCAGCGAGAACGCCCCAGGTGTGCACAGCCACACTGCAAAAGGTTTGCAAGCAAAAAAAAAAAAAAAAGAATTCTAAAAACAACAGGAAAAATACAACTACCACAACAGAAATCACCCACCGTGACTGCAGAGGAGCTCAGACCTCCAGGAGCTATGCACTCTGGGAAACAGTAAGAAGTTGTCTGTAAGTGCCAAAAGGAGAATAAAACCCAACCAAAAACCTCCTGAAAAAGAAGGCCTCACAGCCCAAGGCCACTCTGAGGGATGAGTTAACTGATCCAGAGATGACCTTGCTGATCAAGATGCCGTTTTAAACTGTGATTGAAATGTTCCAAACTTGATCACGGTGATGGTGTCACCACTCTGGGTACAGTAACCTCATTGGATTGCACAGTGGGGCGGGAGAACAGTGAGCATCAGAAAGCAGGCACCGTAGAAAAAAGATGAAGACTAATCTCTATTGGACACACAAGAGCTGAGTGAGTTTGGTGGAGGGAAATAATATCAAAAGATATCAACAGAATCTCAATGCAGCCAGGCATGTCAGTGCACAACCTGCAATTCTAGCCCTGAGGAGCTTGAGGCAGGAGGATCCCAAGTTTAAGGCTAGCCTCAGCTCTAGACTGAAGTTCTGCATCAGAACAGACAAACATAAAATCTAATGCAGGTAGAGAGCCAGGGCTCTGAGGATAGACCCTGCTGTGGCCTAGGTAAAAATGTCCCCCACCCCCACCCCCAGAGGTTCATGTGTTTGGACATTTGGTCCCAAGGTGGTGGTGCTGTTTGGGAAGGTTGTGGAACCTTTAGAAGGTAGAGCCTTGCTGGAGGAAGTGGGTCACAGGGGCATGTGGTTGGGCTCTATGGCCTGGCCCCATTTCCTAGTCACTCCCATCTCCCGACTCAGAACAGTGGTGTGAACAGCACTCTCCACTCCTGTCTCCATGCCTTTCTCAATATGATGGGCTTCTGCTCTTGAACTGTGAGCCGAGATAAGGTGCTTCTTGTTGGGCATTTTGTCATAGCAACAAGAAAATAACCAACAGAAATCAAATATGTAAAGAACTTTTACAATCCAATAAGAAACATCCAAGGTGGGCAAAATGGCTTATCACACACATCACCTAAGAACATACACAAATGACCAAAGGGTACAGAAAACATACTTACATTAACATCATTAGCTGCCAGGGACATTGACCAAGGCAATTGTGAAATGCCAGCTCTGCCCACTTGTATAGAGACAACATATGGTGGATAATGGCAAGGGATAGCAATGCCGTCCTTGGAGACAGAATCACACAGTAGGTGACCAGGAACTCCACTTTGGGAAGGAAGTCCTGTGATGCAGGTGTCACCGGTTTCAAGTAGGAGCAGCCCAAGTGCCCTTCAACAGATGCCATGGAGTAGTTCTTAGCCCTGAAAAAGAACAGACTGGTGACATGAGGAGCAGCCACACGGGCAGATCTTGGCAGTGTGCTGCTGAACAAAACGCTCACGTATGGCTCTGTTGTCTGCGGTGTGGGAAGTGAGGTTGGGGGAGAGCCATGGGAACCTTTTGCGCTGGCCAGGTGTTCCATATCACATTGATGGTGATTATACTGTGTGTGCATTTTCTGGAATGTATCTCCATTTACACTTGTAGATTGGATGGCTGCTGGGCATTCACAGCCCTGGCATCTAAGCTAGCATGTTCCATAAGGGATGTCTGTGATGCATGCTAACAGTCTTCCCTTGCATATGAGGTATAGGAACAGAGAGACTGAGTAACGTACTGTAGGTTGCACAGCTAGAGTATAACCGAGAGCACATTAGAGATTGTCTGGGGTGCTCTCTCAATCCTAAAATCTAATTACCTGGGGAGATGCATCTCATTAAGACATGGTATATTTCAGACCACACCACTAGCAGGTGACAAATGCAGGCACCTATGAACTGCAGGGGACACGGGACAGCCAAGAAGGTTACAGGACCAGCCAGCAAGGCCAGGACCTGAGCCTAGACTAATCTGCCTAGGTTTTTGGTATCCCAGAAAGAGTACTGTCTGATGAGTTGGGAAGCCATGCCTTGAGGTGACAGCAGTAGAGAAGGTCTGGAGGTGGCCAACAGGATGTTCACTCTCATTTCAGGCTGCCCTTTCCTCCTGGGGACCGCGTGACGTTCAACGGGAAGGATTGTATGTGCCAGAAGTGTTCCCCACCCACGTCGCTGGGCAACAGTGCTCACGTGGCCCAGGGCCTCCGGAGTAAGTGTGACCAGGCATCTGTACGGGTGTGTGCTGAGGTGGAAGCTGGAGTGGCCTCTACAGGACCTGGGATGGAGGCTGACATGGTGGGGCCTGCAGAGTAATAGAACACTGAATGCTGGGAACCCAGTAAGAAACCCTCCTCCCCCTCCCGGCCTCCTGTCACTAAGCCTTTTGTACGGGTGGTGGCTGTCACAGCCACCTCAGCTTTTCCATCCCATGTCCCTTCTGTCATAACCCAGTTCTAGGTCTCCTCCCCCAGGAAGCCTTTCCAGCCTCCTCTCTGTCCTTCCCTTGTGGTGCTGGCAGATCGGGTCCACCTTGATGGTAGGGCCATATGCAGTGTGCAGGACAGGGACAGCTGTCTCTGGGAACCCCTGTGGGTCTCTCCAGTTGCTGTCACAGAACTGCTCTGCCACTGGCCGAGCCATGCAGGGCTGCCAGGGCACCAGGGGCCTTCACAGTGAGCACTCCATCCCTTGGCAACACTCCTTATGCACCTTGCAGGGACATAGATAGAGGCTGTTGAGAGCAACTTCATGATGGCCCAGAGCCACAGAACCCCCCTGCAGGGCCTAGGCAGGAGAACCCAGACAGTCCTCCACTTGCTGCTCTAGAGTACCAGGCAGGCCGGTGGTAATGTTGCCACTCATGCCTCGACCTCTGGAGCAGCGCCAGCTCTGGTCACAGCAGCAGTTGCTAGAGCAGACCCAGGCTGTCTGGTTGATGTCATCGGGACCTGCCTTCATTCATTCATGCCACCCAGAACCTGTGCTTGGATCTGTTCTCTAGTGGGTCAGAACTATTATTAGCTCACAAGAAAGTCACCCTTTCCTTGGTGTATACACAAGTGATTGCTGGTGGTTCCGTAGCAGGTGGGAGGCAGTTAGCCACTGAGCCTCACCTGGAGGTTGCCTCTCTGACATGTGATGTGGTATTGCCCACAGGCCAGCCGTGGCTCAGAGGAAGGGCCCAATCCCAGGACTATGAGTGTTTGGGGCCATGTTTCTTTGGTGGGAACTGTATGGTGTTGCTAGTCTTTGCTACTTAGGGCATTCTTCTTTGTCTTACCCTTTACCCCCTCCCCCATTCCCTAACACTAGACAAGAGAGAAAGAAAGATAGAGGAGAGTGGTAGAGATCCCTGAATCTAATTTCTTTCTTCTTGTCGCTTATTTGACCATGACTACTAACAAAGTACAAACAGCCTCCTTGAGCGATCAACAACCACCCACCTATCAGGGTCCTAGCATTTATATAGCCTCTGAAAAATTCCCATAATTCCAGACTTCACAGAATTGTAGAACCTATCAGCAGCTGGCAAAGCCATGCCTCTGCCAGAGCATGAGGCAAATCATAGTCAGCAGATGTGAAAGAGCCCCACATCCCCACACAGGGAACTAAATAAAAACATATTCTTATAATATTTCTGTACTTTTTAAAGGAACCAAAATTCCAAATTCTCACTATAGTAAGGGGCTAAGCAGGAGGCCTAGCATCTCCCTCATGTCCTGTTTGCATACACAGAGTTTTGTCCCCATTTGGAGGGATCAAAAAGGTCTCCAGATCTTGTTAATCTGGACTGGGGAACAAATCATCCCTGTCTGAGAGCTGCTGGCATAGAGCTCACAGAATGTAGCCCAGCACCACATAAAACCCTGCATGGTTGAGTGTTCCTGGAATCTAGCACTTGGAGGGTAGAGGCAGGAAGATCACGAGTTCAAAGCCATCCTCAGCCATAGTGAGTTTGAGCCCAGCATGTGCTACCCTGTGTCAACAAACAAAACCCACAACTGTCTGTACTGAGCATGTGCAGACATCCTCCTTGTCCTTATTCCTAGGAGTACAGTGTGGTGACTGTTCACTTTGTGTCTGTGTGCTCCAGGTAACACTGGTCAAAGATGCATTAAGCCTGTAGGAGGTGTGGACTGATGCGCAAAGACTATGCCTCTCCCTAGACAAGACTTCAGTGTTCAGGGGGTCCTGGAACCCAGCCCTGGATACTAAGAGGCAGTGTACCCACACATGTTGTACATAGCATGTAATATACATATACATCCTGGCACAGATATACACGTATGTGATACATGTCTCCGTGATACACATCCCCAGTTACCCCTGCAGGTTCACCCTACACCCCCTGCCTGCTCGGATTCGCTGATGGCTCCCACACACCCTCCAGTGAATGACAAGGGCTTCAGTGTAACAGCTCCCTGTGTGGAGGGACCAGCTGGCTTAGCAGAACAGGGCCAGACCAGAGGCCCTGGTTCCCAAGGAGCGTGGAGCAGGTCCAGGCACAGCTGGGTGGGAAGAGACTCCTGGGAACCTGATCAGGGCTCAGACCACGATACTACCACACAATGAGGAATACTGGTCTTCATGGCTGGGGTGGGGTTCAGAGAGAGAAAGCAGGGATGAGCAGGACAGATGCAGAAGAAACTGTCTGGGTCTGGGATAGGGCCCAGCAGACTAGGGGTTAGAACAGAAAGCAGAGGGGAAGAGAATCCCAAACACAGTGGCCCCAGATAGCCAGAGGAGTTGGGATATGTGGATCAAAGAGAATCCCCAGGAGGGGGCTCTAGGCGAATAATGGAGTGGAAGTGAAGGCTGGCACTCAGACCTCTCCAGGAGGGGAGTCTAGGCAGGTGAGGATGTAGGGCCAGCAGTAGGAGTGGCAAGAGAGAATGGGGCTCAGACCTCTCCAGGAAGGTCATGCCTTAGGTGAGATGTTTTGTTAGGTTAGGTTTATCATTCTGCCTCCAGCTAAGGATGGATTTGGGGTTGGTTTACCAGGTTTACAACTGATCATGCATGCCACTCTCTAACCCCAGGCCAGCCTAGACCCCAGTACACCCTGGTGTGACATGATTCTGTGCCAGATCCAATCTCTTAGGAAGCTAGCTCTCATTTCCTCCTTGGTTTTCCAATCTCCAGCCCAGACTGTGTAGGGTCAATGCTCCTCGCACAGGATCAAGCCTCACCATGGGCTATGCACATGCTCCCTTCAACTGTGAGATGGGGTCCTTTTAGCATGGCACTGTGTCTGGCCCTCTTCTCTAGGGATGCCCTGGGTGAATCTGTGGGGCCTAAGATTCTGAGAGGTTGAGTTCAGGTCATGTAGAGTGCTCCTGGGGGTTTTGTGGGGCCCTGCAATACAAGGCCTCTGGGCCCACAGTGAAGGTATCTGTGTTTGTTCTCTGTTCTAGGTTGTGGAGGCTGTGGCTTAGAAATCAAGAATGGCCAAGCCCTGGTAGCTTTGGATAAGCACTGGCACCTGGGATGCTTCAAGTGCAAGACTTGTGGGAAACTCCTCAATGCAGAGTACATCAGCAAGTGAGTGTGGTGGGAAGAGCCAGCCCAGGAAGGCCTTGCCCAATGCTACAGGTGGGGCAGGGGTGTCCAGTCCTGGTGCACTGACTAGTCCTGCTGCTGGACCAAGAGCAAGGGCCGGGACTTGCTCTGGTCCCCGAAGCCTTCATCTTCTTTCCCAGCAGTTCTACTGAAGTGGGTTGTGGTCTCCAGTTCTGACTTCACAAAACACCTGTTTCTCAGCCAAGTGTGGCACACGCCTTTATTCCCAACATTTGGGAGGCAGAGGCAGGCAAATCTCTGAGTTCGAGGCCAGCCTGATCTAGAGTGAGTTCCAGGACAGCCAGAGCTACACAGAGAAACCCTGTCTCGAAAAGCTACAAACAAATAAACACACAAAAGCACCTGCCTCTCTGTTGCAGGATGTTACAACCTGCTTGGTGCCTGGACATTCCTGTGCCGGGATGTCCTGTGGAGCACATAACAGCTGATAGGTACTAGCCACAAGGACTCACAGGGCTGGCCGAGCCCATGGGAGCATGGGAGCCTACAGGCATATGCTCTGATCTGCAGAGATGGACTTTTGAATGTCTGCTACCCACTGGCTCAGTGGTCTCCCAGAATGTTGTTAAGGGGGTGACAGTGCCTGAGGAGGAGAGAGCATTTGCCAGAGGCTGTGGGACCATCATGAGCTGGGATATACTTAGCCCTTGGATCAGAGAGGTGAGGCAGAAGGTTCCCACAGTGTAAGTGAAGTGAGCTGGAGTTGGGTGGGGGTTGGAGGAGTCCCCCAGCACAGGAAAGTCCTCCTCCATGCTCCAAAACTGGAATCCACATAGAGATTGATTGGGTGGAAAAGGTTCCCTATATGATTACATAGAGTGGAGTGCGTGTGCACAAATGTACACACAGACTTACACACATGCACACACATGTACACATGCACACATGTATGCACATATACACATGCACACACATACATGTATGCACATACATGCACACATGTGCACATGCATCCCTCCATGCATGCATGCAAACATGAACACATGTGCATACATGCATACACATGTACATACACACAAATGTCCAGGAGCACATGTGTAGAGGCTCAGTGGCCAAGATGTTCATGCTGGCACCCAGGTTGACAGTACATTCTGTCACCAGAGTCTGAATATCGAGTAACAGGGACCTTTCTGTGTTCCTGATTATAATACCATGTGACCCATTGATCACAAAATGAAACATTGTCCCCAAACCAAAGTGAGCTTCCTTCCACTTAGATGGATGACTCTGTAAAGCCTGAGTCCCCTGACCTCCAGCGCAGCCGTACTGTGGAGAGTGATGCAGGCAGGCAGAGCCTGGTGTGCAGGACTCTTTGAAGAAAATGGCAGTGTTACCCCCCATCAGGTGCCACCCCACACAGGGCGTTGGTGGCTCACCCACACCAGCATGTTACTTAGCAGCCTCCAGAGGCATCCCAGAACTGAGGGGAAGATCGCATTGGTGTTGCCATGGAGATGGTACCTAAGAACTTCTTGGGTTTGCTGTAGCTACATGGGTTTGTGGGGTCCCCCTGTCTGCATCCTCCCTCCTTCTGGGAGGCCCCTCTGAGAGTTGAGATCAGTGGAGGACAGATGTAGAGGGGCACCTATCCCTGGAGCATCCGTTCTGGGGCATTGTGAGGCTCCAGGCATTGAGGGAAGTAGTGCGGCACTCAGTTTAAGCCCCGACAGTCTTGAGTATGCTTGTCTTAGCGGTGGGAAATCTACATAGAGTTCACAATAGCTGCAGCCGACGCAGTGAGCATGCTCTATAGTGGCAGGTGTCCATCTTCCTGTCACCTCCACACCATTCCTGCTGGGTGGTGATCCGTGACTGAAGACAACCGCAGCTAGCAACACTGGCAGTCATGGGCACAAGTGCTTTCCTTAAGTCAGTCCCCAGTGCTGTCTTGCCTTATGACAGCCTCACTCTCAGTGCTCCCCTTTTGCTGTGCGAGGGGCCAATGTTCAGTGGCGTTAAGTAACACACTTGAGACTTGGTATTTGGGTCCAAGGCTGTTTGCTTGTCTCCTCCCAGCAACCCTTTCCTGTCCTGAGTGTGGCCACCTGCAACCTCCTTGCCTTCCCAAGCCCTCCCTTCCCTGTGCACTCTCTCCCTACCTTTGTGACCCTTCATCTGTTGCTGGGCTCACAGTGCTGAGGAAAAAGAATAGGTAAATTAGGAGATCTCCTGTCTGCACCGTCCCTCCATGACACTGTGCTGATGGCTAGTTCATTTAATACAGAACAGAGTCAGCCATTCTCCCGAGTGCAGTTTCCAGAGCAGTCTCCCTCCACACTGACCCCTGCTTCACTGGGTATTCAGCCATAGTTGAAAACACAAGCAGAAGGCAGGCTTCACCTGAGGAGCCTCCACCTACAGCCAGAGGTGCCCTGTGCCCTTCTGTTTTGTCGCACTTGCTTCTGGCCTTCAAGTCACCCTTGCACCCTTGTCCTCAGAGGAGGGTACCCTTGTTTTACACCTTCTCTGGCTCCTGGATGGAAGGACCTGGGAGGAGAGTCAGGTCTGTGACTTAGCCTTTCACTTCCCAGGCTGCTTCTGTTCCTTATCCCAGTCTCTGGAGCCCTCCCTCTCTCCTCTATCATCCAGTGGGCAGGTGGCTTGGCCCCTGCTCCTCTGTAAAAATACATGGGAAATGGGTGCTTGTCATATGTCTCATGTGGTGGCAAACTAATGCTACCTGTCCAGGAACTGTCCCCTCAGAGTAGGAGGAAGCCGCCATGCCTCCATGTTGTTGGGTAGTTCTCTTATGAGTTTTGTTGCGTGTTAGGGGCCAAGTGGGTGACCCCATGCCCTCCTGACTGGCTGTCTCATTTCAGGGACGGGCTGCCCTACTGCGAGGCTGATTATCACACCAAGTTTGGCATCCGCTGTGACGGCTGTGAGAAGTACATCACGGGCCGGGTGCTGGAGGTGAGAAGCCTATGGCTGGGGCTGGCACTTTGAGGTCTAATCGCAGAAAGAGCCCTGCATCCTTCAGCTGTCCCTCCCCTGTGCCCAGCACCCTCAGCACACTGTCAGCCGGTTCTTGTCCATACAGAGTTCTTGTTGATGCTTAGCTCACTCAGCTGCAAGCGCGTGTCCACATGTGTCACACACCTCCTCACATGGGACCTGGGATGGGCTAGACTGGTCCTCTTGTTAGGCACAGCATGCTCTGATTTCCTGTGGTAAATAAGGCAACAGTGAACATCTTTTTCCCAAGGCTCCGTGGGTGCTCCTAATCTTTCTTCAGAGAGAGCCATAGAAACGTGGATGTTGGGTCAAAACTGCAAACGCTTGTACAGTTTGTGGCAGTCACTGTAGATTTGCTTGCTTTTAGGATAGAGCTGTGGTTCTCAAGCTGCCTAATGCTGTGACTCTTTACAGTTCATGTAGTGGAGACCCTAGGCCATAAAATTATTTTTGTTGCTACTTCATAACTGTAAGTTTGCTACTGTTATGAATTTAAATATCTGATTCAATCCCTGGAAAAGGGTCATTTGACCCCTTTCCAAAGAGATTGAGAGGTTAAGAACCATTGGGTTAGCATCTTCTGTGCCTCTCCCACCCCAGCTTTTGATGTCCTGGCTCTGGTAAGGCTCTGTCTTTCCCTGGCCCTGAGACAGGCTGGCAGTTCTGCCTCTCCTTCTTCAGCTTTGCTTGCTTCTTCACTGGGATCTTCAAACTGTTGGAGTGAGTCATTAGTAAGATTGTGACTTTTGTCTCCTGTGTGACCCATGAGTCTTGTCCTGGGTGGGGAGCACAGATGGTATTCATACAGGCATATCCTGGTTTAGGAGAAAAGACCAACCTGTCCCATCCCACATAAGCCTGGTCCCACTCCTCATCCCCCTCCACCCTTCCCCTGCTTCTCCCTCTCCCTGCTCTGGAGTTTTCCTCTGCCCAGGAGCCTTCTTTGTTCTCCTCCCTGAACAAGAACTCCTCCTCAGTGGTTTTTGCTTTCATTACTTTTTATTTAATTTTTTTTTTTAAATCAGGGTCTCATGTAGCCCAAGGCTGGCCTTGAACTTGCATAGTTGAGGCTGACCTCCAGTTTCTGATTCTTCTGCAATGGAAGGCTATGTGACACCAGGAGCTTTTAAAACAGCTTAAGTGGTGCCTATCAAAAAGAGCATCTGCCAGGATCAGCCTGGACAGAGGCCCCTGGGATGACTGCGACTGTAACAACTGTGTGGTCTCACCTCCCTAGACAGCTCACTTGGCCTCCCTGACTCTCAGTGTCCCTCCCCATAGCACACTGAGGCCTGCACTCTGCCGTCCTACCCATGGCCTCAAGCTCAAGAGACCATGTCTGTCTTCCCTTATGGACCCGGAGCTTCTGCCTCTCCCTTATACTTCAGCACCCGGGTACCTGGTCGACCCACACAGATGTCCCTCTTTCTTTGAAGTAACTCAGCCAGGTGTGGGGAATCCCCCAGTAGAGTCACACTGACTGTCCTAAATCTCCCGTCCTCAGCCAGATAGCAGACCTTGGGTGGCATGGCAACCTAATCTTGTCTCACCAAGTTGACTCTGTGGGGTGAAGTAGGTGCACCTTGGATCTGTCTCTGCCATTGCTGCTAATACTAAAAGCACAGTTTGGGAACCTGGCCCAGTTCACCATCGAGGCTGGCAGACCCTCACTAGAAAAGCTAGCCTGGGTGGGCAGACCCCATCCAGTACTGAGAACTGGGCTAAGAGAGAGTTGGTGAGGCTTGTAAACATCTCATGTCCCAGCTCCAAGTTGCCCCAGGAAAAAGCATGTAAAGGGACATCTTGTGAGGCCATTGGGGTCTTCCATGCATGATGTTAGTAAGGCAAGCACATGACCTCATCTGTAGCATAAGCATCCTTATTGTGTGTCTCTGGGCCAAGTGCTGTGAAGTTGGTGCACTCTCTGGACCGTGCAAAGGGGCTTTTCTAGCTGACAGGGCCTGGACAGTCCTGGTTTTCCTCTATATTCTACAGTGGAGAAGAAAGGGCTTCCCCGGAGGGTGCATGCTTTTGGTTTTGCCTTCTCCGGGGGCGAGTGTGCTGCAGCGGTGGTTAGCGGAGGTGGCGCAACTGAGTTGTCTTCTGTGGGCTCCGCACAGCTCTGAGCATCCTCCTGGCGGGTGTGAGGTGGGAGCTGCGGGTGGAGACAGCCAGCTCTGCAGAAGGGAGCTCCGCTGCAGTGGCAGTGGCACTGCCTGAAGCTGGCCCAGGCAGGCTGATGCCCGGCTGGTGATGCTGCACTCTTGGGGAGCTTCAGGGACAAGTGACTTTATTGGAAGAAAGAAACAAGGACAAGAGTACGGAGGTTGGCTGGGGCAAGGGTGACACAGGCAGGCCGTCCAGTCTCCTGCGCTGAGAAGGGCTGGGGACAGACCCCGTGCAGGTAGGAAGCCTGGCAGAGCTGCAGAGCTGTGCTGAGCCAGGTGGGTGGGCTGCTGGCGGTCCCTGCAGTCTCTCTTGCCCCCAGATGTCCTCTCTGTGAAGCCCAAGTAGGAGCTTCCTGCGCTCCCCCACAGCAGCCTCATTTGTGCTGTGACTGTGAGGCAGGCATGGTGCCATCTTAAGCTGTTGGTGCCAGCAGCACTGCCTGGGAAATGTGTGTTCCTGGTGATGGAGGGTGATATTCCCTCTTCTTGTCCCCCGTCACTCCTGTCACAGTTCTGAAGAGCCTGCACAGGGGGGACCTGTGTGGTCACAGGAGGGGACTAGCAGAGATGGACAGGTGACGGCAGAGGTGCCGTGTGGGTGATGAGGCAGAGCTCACATCTGGCTACAAGGCTACAGCACTGCAGTTTGCTGGAGGATTCATGAAGCATGCCTTTAGGGAGTCCTTTGGAATTGGGTATAGGAGAGAGGTATGTATGTGTGTGTGTGTGGGGGGGGTGACCCTGGCAGTGCTCAGAGCCTAGTCCTTAGCTGCCACCCCATTTCCTTTCACTGCAAAGGTGGGGGTAAGCATGGTTTGGGGGTGTAATTAGTCCACACTCTCTCAGCTCTGATGGCACCATGGTTTGAGGCTCACTTTCAGTGCAATTTTATACCAATGGCTATTGCCATGGTAACATGAAGCCCAGGGCTCCTTGGGACCACTAATTAATTTCTTCTACGTCTTCACTTCCTCCATTCCTCTTTTCTTTCCTTCTCCATTCCTGGTATTCACTCCTATGGGACTCACTGGGTCCCACTGTAAGCTGAGGTCCCCATTGTGAAGGATATCTGCAGGAAAAGAGGCTGCTGTCCGGGCTGCTCTGCCCTGAGTCAGGGACCCATACAGACATTTCCGTTTCCGAACACCATCCCCTGTCATGACTGGGTGTTGCTTTCAACTGCCCACTTCTTATTCCCATGGGCACACTCCTCGCCACTCCATAGGCTCTTTACTACCAGCAGAGAACAAACTGTTTTCAAATAGTTGGGAGCATTTGAAAGCTGCAGTGAAGACAGCATCTCATGCCCCTACAACCGGTGTGCTTATTGTGAGAGTGTTTTCAAAGAACATCCTGGCTTATGTAAAACAAACAGAAAAACCGCTCCAATGAACGCTGACACCTATTCACTATTTAGAAATCATATTTTTGCATTTCAGCTACACACACACACACACACAGACACAAGGCAATCCACAGACTTACACATGGATACAATACCTAGAGACACACAGAAAGGCACAGGCACACAGCATGCCACATACAAGCACTCGTACACAGTGGCATAGGCATGTATTGCATAGACAACACATATAGGCGCACGCGCGCACACACATACACACACACACACACACACACACACACACACACACACACACAGAGAGAGAGAGAGAGAGAAGTGTATATACTGCTTAGGCTTGGGTCCTCAACTGTTTCCACATGTGTTTGGCCAGAACTCTCTGTCCTCAGGGAGTACTTATGCTTGACCATGGACCTGTCTGAGGTGCCCCTCAGAGCACCTTTCAGGGATGCATCCCTGGGTGGGCCCTAAGAGTGGATGATACAGCTTCCCAAGATGACTTCCTAAGTGAGGCTTATGGTGAGGATGAAGAGAGGAGGTGGAGATAGGAGCGGCTGGTAGGCCTCATACATAGTATCAGATCCCGGGAAGTGTGGAGCCAGTGGGGTGTTAAGGGACATGGGTACAGGGGCAGAGCCAGAGTCTGGGAAGGGACTCCAGACCTCCAGGGCTTTGTTGGGTATGCACTAATTTAGCTCTCCTTTTTAGAACAAGTGGTTCCCACAGGGTCTCAGAAGAGCCCTGGGGACCCTGTACTACCACAACTACTGGTACCTCTGGGATGCCTGACACCCACTCTGGCTCTTTGATTCTTTGCTTGTGAATTATACTTCCTCATTGCACCATGGCAAATAGGACTTTTAGCATCTGGATCCAGTTTTTGAAATTCTGTAAACTTGTCATGGTAGCACCCACCTGGAATTCTAGTTTTTAGAAGGTAGAGACAGGAGACTTACAAGTTCAAGGCTAGCCTGTGCCACAAAGTGAGATTGTCTCTATGGACCAAAGGCTGGCCTATAGCTCAGTGAGAGAGCCATTGCCTAGCCAAGGCAAGATTATAAATTCAAACCCAACACTGTATAAATAAAATAAGCAAGAATAACTTTCAAGACTGGCCAAGGAATGTCCCTGATGCAAGCAACCACCAGCAGGCCCAGCTCTACTTTCCATGGTGCAACCAAAGGAGAACCTAGGGACAGCAGGAGGCAAGTCCAGGTTTTTAGGTAACCTGTTTTATCAGTCTTAATAGTTGGGCCTGAGGAAGAAGTTACTGGCCTCAGGCATGGGAGGCTCAGTCAAGAAGGTCTGGATTTCTGCTGACCAACTGAAGAGAGGTTGCTTGTTCCAGCCTACAGAGGAGGAGAGGCAGTGTCTCAGGATGTGAGGCTTCTGCCCTCCCTTAGTACCGCTGACCCTTTCTGCAGGGATGC